CGATTCAGTGGTGGTTTACACAGAGGGAACAGCACTGTGAACTTAGATCATATTTAGTGGAGGAACTTTGTCTCAGGAATCTCGAGAAGAACAAGATGTTTCTTCTGAGTGAGGTTTTGTCTGATGTAGGCCTTGCATATTGTAAGTACAACTATCTTTGATCTAACAATACCTATACCTTAATCAGCCTTTTGAAGGTGAATACGATCTCAGAAAAATTGCAGACAAGTTAAAGTTGATGCAAATGTCCAGAGTTGGATAGCAAAATATATTAGTCCTTCATCGTTGCAGTAGTGTACCATGTGACATTTGATAGAATCGCAAGAGTTTTAGTTGAAACTAAGGTCGAGATATGCATGTTTAGACAGATTGTGATAATAATTAATATGAACCTCTCTAATGTATGAGGTGCTGGAAGACACATTTTCTGTCTCAGTCAGTAAGTGAGAGGTTGTCATTGTCAAGTTAGACATGTGCAAATCGCAGGAGCTTAAGTTGAAAGTTAGGTTTAGATATGCATGTTCATACAGATTATGGTAATAACTTATCTGAATATTGCTTATGTATGAGCTGCAGGAAGACCCTTTTTTCTGTCTCTGTCAGTAATTTAGAGATTGTCATCTTTTGTAGGAGTAAGAAAATGTAAATGAAAATGACATTTGAGCAATTGGTTTATATTTGTGTATACTGGTTTTCACTTGACTGAGTGAAAAATCCAGAACAGACTAAATCTGATTGAATGTACGGAATCAAAATCTGATTGTCACCTTGTGGCACCCCTTTCTATGTGCTTGTACAAAGCCTGGCTCCCCTTTCTATCACTTTGGACAAAGCCTGGGTCCCCTTTCCAACTCTTTGGACAAAGCCTGGTTCCCCTTTCCAACTCTTTGGACAAAGCCTGGGTCCCCTTTCCAACTCCGTGGACAAAGCCCGGCTCCCCCTTTCTATCACTTTGGACAAAGCCTGGGTCCCCTTTCCAACTCTTTGGACAAAGCCTTGTTCCCCTTTCCAACTCTTTGGACAAAGCCTGGGTCCCCTTTCCAACTCCTTGGACAAAGCCTGGCTCCCCTTTCCAACTCCGTGGACAAAGCCCGGCTCTCCCTTTATATCACTTTGTACAAAGCCTGGCTCCCCTTTCTATTACTTTGTGCAAAGCCTGGCTCCCCTTTCTATCACTTTGGACAAAGCCTGGCTCCCCTTTCAAACTCTTTGGACAAAGCCTGGCTCCCCTTTCCAACTCTTTGGACAAAGCCTTGTTCCCCTTCCCAACTCTTTAGATAAAGCCTTGTTCCCCTTTCCAACTCTTTAGACAAAGCCTTGTTCCCCTTTCCAACTCCTTGAACAAAGCCTGGTTCCAATTTACAACTCTTTGGACAAAGCCTGGCTCCCCTTTCCAACTCTTTGGACAAAGCCTGTCTTCCCCTTTCTATCACTTTGTACAAAGCCTGGGTCCCCTTTCCAACTCTTTGGACAAAGCCTGGCTCCCTTTTCCAACTCTTCAGACAAAGCCTGGCTCCCCTTTCAAATTCTTTGGACAAAGCATGGCGCCCCTTTCCAACTCTTTTGGTAAAGCCTGGCTCCCCTTTCCAACTCTTTGGACAAAGCCTGGCTCCCCCTTTCTATCTCTTTGGATGAAGCCTGGCTCATCTTTCTATCACTTTATTTAGGTCAATCTTCACAGGTCTGTGAATGCGTTATTATGGAACAAAGGGACTGTGTTGTAAAAGTGATTTGTTTACAGATCAACAGTTAGTTCTGTTTCTGTTGGGAATGAAATTTGTTCACTTCATGTATCTTTGTTCTGATTATAATTAATATATATACATATATGAACAGTTTGGGGTCAAAGAAGTAATATAGACGGTAAAAATCCCATATAACACTGGATCCTAATGGAGGTATGTCCGTAGGGGCAAAGAAGTAATTCCAACAGTGTGGACAAGTTTAGGTTGTCAAATTTTCGGAGCGTACCGCTGCTTTTTCAAGACACAGTGAAACAGAACAGTTACATGTACATATACATCATATTAAAAGAAGATAGAAATGATATACTATAATTGAAAATATAGCTATTATATATATAAAAAAAGTCCCCTCGGCTAAAGACAGCCGAAGGCAGCAATTAAGCTGAGAGCATCGCAGACAAGGAACGCTGATGTAGAGGACCTATTCTTGCGCAAGATACACTGTCATATAAAGTGAGTCAACGAGAGATATCAAAAACGTGGAACATGTGCCTGTGGAAATCTGGCCCGGTAAATATGAAAAAATCTCCAATTTGCTACGGAATATCTCATTAGTCGCCTCTCAATACTGCGATGGATCTAACAGTCACAGCAGGGGGTCCACACTTAGTCGCCTCTTTTGGTTTGCAGGAATAATGCATGTGCCTCTTTTGGTTTGCAGGAATTATGCAAGTAATTCTTTAATTTCATATCAGAATGTTGTATAATAACATTTGTATGCTAATTGTTATCCCTAATCCTTCCAAAAATTGAAATTTGCGCAATATTATTGAAATACGCACTAAAAAAGCCAGAAGTAGTCATGCACTCTGCACTATTTCACTATATATATATATATATATATATATAGCCATGCTAGCCATCGGGGTTTTGTAATAAAATAAGTCGTTGGCTGTTCCAGATGAAATCAAGGTTTTACCGGATGAGAAATCCTTAACGAAATTCCGAATGCAAATACTTTTTATGAAGAAAAAAACCAAGAATGTGTGATTTAAAGATGTTGTCTGTTTAGTAATTATTATACATATTGTTGATTGTATGTTAAAAAATCTGTTACAATTTATGATAAGATATGAACATAAAATATATGTAGGTACATATCGATAGATACATTATGGAATTCAAAAGGTTTTCTTGACTTATAAAATATTAAGTTTCCATATTTAAAATAGGTTATTATTTGAATATTATTGTGGAAATTGTCTCGTACCTCGTAACGATCACATTAGATACAATCAGGAAAACCAACAACAGCTTGTGAAGAAAATATACGTAAAACATTGTACCACATGTATATAGCTGGTACTTTTGTTTATAGAATACTGATGGACTTGGTTAATCTGGACACTCCGGTTCCAAGCGAAAAAATCTGTAGTTAATTTATAGATAAACGAAACACGGCTTTTGTGGATCATGGCTTACATTCATTATCTGAGGAGAATTTCTTGATTAACGAGCTTTTACTAATTATAGATTGTTTTTTGTAATAAATTAAAGAATATGTAAATTCAGAGAGAGAACAAGTATTGATCGATAGGCTCACTATGTGTTGGTTTGTACATGCAATATTCTCCTCGTGTTGTTTGTCTACATATAGTAAATCAGTGCTTTGAAGGAATCATTTCATCTATGCATTTTGATATATTTTATTATTCTTATATTGTTTATAATCCTTTGTGGAAAATGTATAAATATATAGATGCTTACCATTACTGTTCCTTGTCATGTTGAGATTGTCAATCAAAATGTGTAAATGCTCTCCTATTATGCTTCATTGTTTTCTTGCGAAAATGTTGTTAACATCTCCGAGCAGTGTATACTTAACTGTTACATAGACGTCATACTGTCGCCAGTGAATAACATTCCTGTTATATTTGTTCTGGTTGTAGAGTTCGTGACATTATTTCAGTAATACTTAGCAGGCAAGTTGTTGTTTTAACGCAACTTTTACATAGATAGTTCCATAAGATTGATGTAAAATGATTTTCACACTTTTGTATTCTGTATAATTTTGGATTTGTTTTATATTAATTTCTTTTCACGGGTATTTAAATATTTAAAACATGGTGAATTATTATGAAAAAATTAATCATATAAAATACATTATTGAGTGTGAACTTAATATTATTTGATTATGATTTTCAATTCCGATGATAAATATTTCATATATGGCTTTTTTATTTGACAGGTTGTATAATTGAGGAAAGTATAATAGAATTATTTCCCTTTCAAAAAAGTGCGACTTTGCATTTAGTAGCTATTAACTGGACCATGCTTGTAGGTAAATATGTTATTTTCCTGTTCGCAAAAGATTCTCATGAATCGTGTTTTTCGAATAAATATGATATGAAACAGCTATGCGCACACGTAGGTCAAATTTACCTGCGAATGACACACCTGTTCGAAGATATGCAGTATTGCTTTTATATGAATGTTTTGCTCACATAAAAACGGTCTAAATTATGCAATCCCTCCTAAAATTTAATGGCAGAATATGAAATAAGTTATGATTATTTTTAGGCTAGTCCTGGTGAATCAATTGATGGCTAGTAACAGTTGTGAAGACTATATCTTTATTAACATATCTGTGTATTGTGATGTTGTTACCTGTCTTTAATATGTCACCAGCATGTCAAAATAAAATGTCGAAATGTTGCCAAAAAATGTGTGTTTCATTTTATTTGTCGTCGATAAATATTTAAACACGCCAGAGAGCATTTCAGAATAAACACCACTTACACATGCATCTAAATGTACAAAAGACAGGCTATATCTGAGACATGATTTACTGAGATCACATTGACATTTTTTTCTAGAATGACTGAGCAGCTACATGTACTTGACAAAATTCGTAATGATAATTTTGAATTTTTATAAGTTGAATATACAATTTTTAATAAAGATTACAGTAAGATGCTTGCTCTACACTTTAATTTAGCGTTCGCATATATTACTTAAATGATTCCATAATGGCGGTATTTTCCCCTTGACAATAAGACAGTCAGTTCTATATCTTGACATTTACAAATGTATGGCAACAATGATCACATCATTACAAAACTATATGAAAAAAATGGAATCGTAATGTATCGCAAAAACCGAACACAGGAGGACAAAATGAGACCATAAGTTGATACGAACAGAAAANATAAAAAAAAAAAAAAAAAAAAAAAAAAAAAAAGTTAAAACAGAAGGAGAAATATGAACCCCTTAAAAAATTAAGCTGAAACCAATGTAGCCTAAAGAAAAGCATTCCGCAAAACCAAAACGGCAGCATTGTAAGCCCTGGTCATATGTACCTAAATAAAATAAAAAGAAATTTTAAGTTAACTTGAAGCTTTCCGCATTATTTCATATCGCTATTTGCATCATACAACTAATTATTTATTTTATATTTTGAGACTGGGACTAAGGATATTGCTGAAAGAACAAAAAGGCGCTAACGCAACTAATTTATGAAATGCACAATGATCTCACAACCACCTACATTTCTTCATCATTGATACCCATAGTTAGAAATAATGAACATTATCGTTTTAAAATTCAACAGATTTGTAGAATTTCTTTCTATGGTATCACTGAATCAGTCATAATAAGAGTTTCACATAGAGTTTTTGTTTTACTCCACAAAAGACGAAACAACCAAACGCTGTTTTTCTAGCGTAGAGTTACCTACCCGGTGAAGTGTTTTAGATGCTCTGCGCCCCATAAATTGAGCACTCGTTCTGATGCTGAACTTGTGTAACCACTGTAAGATTGGTTAATGGTAGGCTAGGTACTGTAATTCGAACCCTTGCATACTCTTTTCGATTTCAATAATAATATTTGAAATTTTATTACATCGGTAATTGCATGACAACATGTGAAAAAAAAATTCTTATAAATAGTCATTCATTTTATTGAGAACGACAAAATATTTTTTAAATTTGATGGTACACTTTATTACATTAATCGTCTGAGAAAGTAAGAACACTTACAAGTTTTACTGTTCTAATCTGATGACGGCTGTTCTAGCTCAAGTTCAATGATCCATCAGGTTTTGTAAGGATGCCCTGCAGTGAATGAAGATATCATATAAACAATAGAAAAATGAAATCCTTTCCTGCTAAAGAAGTTGAATTATAAATTTGTCGAATATATAAAATAACTATTTGAGTTGGGGCAAACGAAATACATACCAAGTGTGACGTGAACAGAAGTAATACAGCTTTGGTCGTGGCATGCTGTTAAAGTTGGTGGCCCGGCATAACGAGTAGGCTCCTACATAACTGATATGTACCCATTCTCCCACCTCCATTAATGGTAAAGGGATGTCTGTTGCTAGGCAATCCGTGGAATCACATGTTGGCCCCCACAGAGTACTGTTGTGCTTTTCTGCCATCGCCTAGAGATAAAAAGGAAGTACTTGATACATCGTCACTTCCGTAGTAATATTATTTCCGTGACTATCTCAGTCTACTTTTCCGCTTTCTTTACAAAATAGCGAACATTTCAAATTCTTCAAGTGGAAAGCGTAACTGAATCTCTCTGCGAAGTCATAGATGTTTTTTTCTGATAAACTTCTTAAATCAAAGTCAATATATACTTCTTTTTCGTATATTTTTTTCATTATGTACTTCTTGTATTTATAACATTTCAGCACTAGTACCAACACTGCCACATTCTGCACACCGTATCCGAGGCAATACTAATGTGATTATTAAAGTCAAACACTGAGTAACATGTTTTGCTTAACAAGCAGAAGATCGGGCATGAAAATTATTAGAAGAGACTGGGAACTAAGAAGAAAACAAAAACCGAAAAACGTATCTAACAAATATAATGTACAAGAAAACATCTGATTGAAAAATTAAATATTTCAGAAGGATGAGACTTTCCTACATCACATTTGGCACCTGTCATAATGCACTAGATATTGATGTATTGATACTTGATGTTTATCAATCTAGTTGAAATATACGTCATGAAACGACAACGACGACGATGATGATGTTTATTATCATTATTATGAATATTAGATTTGATGTTAAGTTAAGCCTGTAAATGAAATAATAATGTTTTGCTATGCTTTATGGAAAATGATCAAACGTTATCATTTTTAAATCATTTTTAATTTGGTTGAATAGTGTAATATCAGGGCATACCAGAACCTTTTGTAATGACGAATGGAGTGTAACAGTCTTTTGCTAAAATATTACTTTTATAATCTAATAAGAGCGTAGCTCTCGGGTGCCGAATTTTTTCAGCTTTTGATTTTCATTTGTTGAGAATATGAACGAAATTATTGACATTTTTGAAAGACCGGATATAGTCTTTACATTATTTATGCATCACCACTCATAAAAGAAGCAATGTAAAATGCATTTATGCAACGCCCTTTTTCAGCAACGTATTACTTTTTCACAACGCGTGCCGATTAATAACTAGTTACAGATAGAAACTGTAATTTTATTTGGCATCATTACCTGTCAAACCTCGGTGACAGTTACAAAATTTGAAATTCAATCCGGTGTTTCATGATGGAACAGTAATTGAGACTACATATCCATATCAAGACAATTTCAGTTACATCAAAGTATTACAATGTTTTCTTTTCTTAATTTAAATTTTTAACTTACATCTCTATACATTTACTTAGACTAATCGTCAAATATGAAAAATGCACTTTTTTCTATAGCAATTACCAAACAGTTTTCCCCCCAGCTTATCTCAATCATTCTTTTTTGTGCCCTGACGGAAGCACGCAGAGGGTTTTATTCTTATTATGGGTGGAAGCTTGAGTAATCGGAGAAAACCCGCGTGGTCGGGCAGGTGGCCGGGATGGAATCAGGCCATCTTGGTGAAGACGAGCGCGCTATCCACTGCGCCGCCCGACCCATACCCAAGCCCAAGCACAAGAACAAATATCTAATTTAGCTTTGACTGGAAGAAAATGGCGTCATTGATGCCAAAATTATATTGTGAATATTTTTTTCCAATCACCAATATTATAAAATATCTACATACGGGAGACCGGGGCAAGTTCTGCCATCCCTGATATTTTTTGTTTTTGAGCTAATATTTACAAGTTTAAGGATCTTAGCAGTTTAGTTGGCTGGGCATTCAACGACGGAAAAAACGCTACCATACTGCTGTACGATAAGAATTTACTGAAATATCAATTTGGGCCCGAACAAGTTCGACTAATAAAACCGTTGCGAGGTCGGCCCATGTAGTTTTAAAACATATACAAAGTCCGACGTTGCATGGTTTATGACGTCATAATTAAACTGATTCCAATGGGGGCCGAACTTACCCGAATGCCTGTCCGAACTTACCCCATGGCGGGGCTCGTTCGGCCATCCTATCGTTAAATAATGTTCAAAAACGGACGTGCTGCCATACTTCCTAGAACGGAATTTAATAAACAAACAAAAAAGGCCGAACTTGCCCCGGTCTCCCTATTGTTATTTCGGTCTTAATCTCATTAGATCTTGTGTTTTATTGTTATTCCTCGACTAGCCGACTTTAAATAAAGTTTATCTTATCTTATTCTGAAAGTTGTATTCTGAATCAGTAAATATCAGAGATCAACAAAAGGTACGCTCTTTTAAGGCTTTGCCTTTTCATATTATGCAATACATTCTGTGTTAGGGTTAGGGTTAGGGTTAGATGATATACGATTACTATGATCGGTATACAAACCTTGTTTAGAACCGGTGATATCACGAGTACCTTTGTGCCATCGTTCACTCTACTCACAGATCCATATATCCCATCATTTATGTTGTACAAAACATGTTCAATACGTTTTTTGTCTGAAATCAAAAGCAAATTTAATCAGAATATTAAATTACCAGAGATACATTCGAGGAAGATGTAAGCACAAGACGACATTTAAAGGCTGTTCGGGGTGATTTTATGCTCTCTGCCATAACTACCAATACTAATTATCTCCGTTTATATAACTGTTCATTAACAACGCATTAGTCCTAACGCATTTAATCGTACATTTCCAACTCGATTTACAGTCGGTGTTAATCTGCGAAACGTATAACACATTTACATTTGTATGCTCTACACATACCCTGGTCATAGACAAACCTCCGGCCTATGATATTGGCTGCAGCGCTGACAGCAGTTTCTACAAGGTAACGTCCTGGTTCGGCGATTATTTTTACTCCTTCTGCTGCAGGGAAATACTCATCAAGGCACTGGTTTATGATGTCTGCATTCTTACGTAAAGATGATAAATGAATGGAAATACAGTGTCTGTGTGACAAGTATGAACATGTTATCAGGCGGGTTTACATGTGCAAGAAAGTTGTATCGTTAAGTTCTTATTATTTTTTATTGGGAATCTTTTATACGGTTTGCACAGTTAAGGTAAAGATTACTGTGGAAAGGTTCATTCTTGAAACCAAACATTAAAATAATATCTATTGAGTAAGACTTGTCTATAAAACACATGAAAATAAACACACAATGTCAACTAAGTAATAAAAACCCTGGCTTCCAGTATTAGTTTTCCGATTATATTACCATGAGCAAATATATATTTCTGCAACGAGTTCAAGGACTATACCTCTTCTATGGTCGGATGATCAACATCTCGGCCTCGGTATCCACCTCCAATGTCAAGGACGTTCATATCAAATCCGACCTGTTGTCCCATGTCAAATATTCTCCGTGCTTCTTTGATTGCAAAAGCAAATGCGTCGGAACTGAGACAGTCACTTCCAACATGGAAACTAAAACGACACACGAACTAGTCACAATTTTGACTGTCTCACATTTCTCCGAAATAATGTTGAGATATGGAGCGTTCTAAATCTTCGCGTTCTACTGCCGACAGGCATATTTAAATGACTAATTTAGGTAAATTATTTAACAAGTTATTCTATATGATAACGTCTGAAGATATATTTGATTTAACTTGTCAAATTTGCATTTATATCTCTCACCTCACACCAATGACGTTCAACCCTTTGTTCTTTGCCGATATAAACAAATCCAGGGCCTCTACAAAGACACAACCGAACTTCTTCCCTAGGTCATACATGACGGTACACATGTGATTTGGCCTAAATCTCAACAGTAATCTGTAATATAACGCCAGGCTTCAAGATTAATACCATATATAGATATTTAACATGTCGCACCCAACTATTCATTTTGCGCATTTTTAGTTTCGTGAATGCCTTGAAATCATATGAAGTGTTTAAATGGAAGTCTTGATACATTCATTATCATAGATGATATTTCATTACTGCAAATGACTGCTTTGTTGTCGAATTAACAGACTTGTCCTTACTGCGAAAATTAAGTTCCCTTAAAGAATCACACTGACGGTACCTCACCAATGTCATTTATGAAACTAACCTTGCTGATCTATACAACATTTTGATCTTGATCAATTCCTCCTCGCTGTCAAAGGTCATCAGGTCTACATTGTGTTTCTTGGCGAAAGGAAGATGTGCGTTTTGTTTACATGGGTTGGCGTATATGATGCGTGACGGATCGACTCCTAGGTCTAACACCTGCTTTATTTCAGCCTACTTGGAAGAACAAAAGATATGATCATTTCACATATATATATATATATATATATATATCACCTCGATTTAAACGAAGCTTCTTTTTCCTTTCAAAAATGACATTTTAGTTTAAATGGAATCACTGCTTATCGCTTATCTTTTGATTTGTTTTCCTTCAGAGTAATGAAATAATAATGACGGTGGCGTTATGAAGATAGTTTACTTATATTTATTTTTTTAGAAATTGTGAATGAATCACACCGCCAATTTCTGAGTGTTATCTTAATTCTTCTCATGCCTGCCAACACTTAGTTCCTAAGTATCGCCTGACTGGGATAATTTGTATAGGGAACTGTCGAAACAATGTTAAGCATATCTGCATAAAAAAGGGATTGAGAAAAGACTGGATTATTTGGATTAGGTTGTAAGAACTTATACAAATACGATCGATTCGAACTCGTATTTTGTACAGGATGATTGGAAGAAGCGCATACCTTGCTCGCACAGTCAAAACTGCTCCCTAGTCTTACAAGGACGTCAACTATTTTTTCATCATTGTTGCACTTCAATGCTATTGGGATAGAAATACAAACGGGTTTTTGAAAGAATCGCATATAACATTTCCTTGTCATGGAAATTATATCGAATCAGCTGTGACTTTCTGCAAAGTCCACATGTCCATTGCTCGCCTCGTTGGTAGGAATATTAAATTTTGCGTAATATGAAAAACTGTTTTCTATCATGAATAATTTGTTGGAAATGTGTCAAAAAAATGTTCAAAATAGAAACAAGCCGAAACTCGCATTACATGTTTAATATAAAGAAACAGGTATTGATAAATATAACGTTAACATAGAATAGCACTACCCTTGGAAGCAAATGGTACCATTTTCTGTACCTCTCCACCACCTCGTCAATATCAACGATAACCAGAGGATCGTCTATACCCTGTATTAAATAAATCATGTATTTTATACGAATAGTACACGAACGAATCTAAGGTACAATGATATCTATGAAGCAGCCGTTAGGATTTGGTCAACATTTCTATTTTCTGTCTAGTTATGGTAATAAGGTAAAAGCACCAAACTAAAATCATAAATGAATGGGTAAATATATGTCAAATAACCACGAAAAAATTACAGCATAAACGTGTTTGTGAAACGCTTATATTGCAAAATGGTGCAGCAAAAATTGCCTTAATTGATGGAAACATCAAAATAGAAGAAATGAGAAGAAAGGGATGTTGATATTTTTTACACGTTATGATGGCATGAAAGCTCTCGACAAAAAGTTTTGTCTGTTAGAAAGTTGAATCGCCAACAACATTCAAAATTAGATAATCTTACCAGTTCTGCCTGGTAAGCAATCTCTCGTTTGATGTAGTTTGAATGGGAAAGCCTTGCATCAACAATCAGCATATCGTTATCCGTCATTTTCTTTAAAAAAAAGTGTACAACCAATAAAGACAATGTCTTCTTTAAAATTAATAAATTATTTCTGTATTCAATTTAATGTGGCAATTATTTGTGAATAGATAGATAAATGCTGTACGGATGGTGGTACATAATAGTGTAGACTTGAATGTCGTCATCGGAATATTAAAGGAGCGGAAAAAATAACAAAACTATCAAAGTGTCTGGATGGAAATAGGTTGGCTGAAGCAATAACCTGTAAAAAAACAAAACTCGTATGCAGTAAAGCCGAACTTGAAGACTGCCAGCATTATTCAAACAATACTGAAGATTCATAACACCGGCGTGTCAGCTTATAACCTACCTCTATATATAGCACTGTTTAATTTTACTACCTGGTATGCTAAACTGGTATCATTGTTTGTTTTTAATGTTAAAATATATCACCAGATAAGGAGATGAGCACAATACATGCAAATGCTAACAACTTGCTGTCCGATAAATACACCAAATCTTTTCACATCACTAAATAATTCAAAAGTCTTATGTAGATATTGGTGGATTATATGAGCAACGTTATTCATTTTTCAAAATGAAGTATGCAAGTCCTAAGGGATATACCTATCACTTAAACATCATAACATACAGACCCTCTCGTTTTGTGTGACAATATAACAACACGTTGTGTAATAATGGATTTCCCCTCGTTTGACTTTTATTTGACTTTACAAAACTACATGCCTCATTTAATCAGAATCACATATCAAACATATATGAACTGTTGTTTACATTTTCCCCAATTACCTTGTTAACTGTTCTAGCTAATATTTTGGAAATATAGCATAGCTGAAATAACAAAAAATCCTAAGATTATTAATATTTTGTACTATAATGCTATTCGTGATACTAAGATAACGTTATTATTCTAGAAACTAGTTGTCTAAAGTAATATTGGTAAAATGTAACACAAACTTGGAAATACGTTGGTTCTTCCTGCTGCATAATGTGGATATTTTCATTCCAATAAAAATAACTTTTAAGAACAACTCACCTTAGTCAGTGTTATTCTCGTCCGATGGATTTCTCCACCAATTCAGTCAGACGATGAATTCCTTGTAAGTGCGTTGCAGTCTGTGGCAATTTGGTATTAATACAGTTTCGATTATCCAGAAAGTCTTCGACCAATCAAATGACTCCATTTAAACGTGTCTAGCAAGAGACAGGCATTGCCTGTTACACTAATACTGCGAATGCGTTTCATATGTTCTAACCATGACATTGATAGGTTGAGGTTTCCCATGTTCTAATCATGACATTGATAGGTTGAGGTTTCCCATGTTGTAATGATAGGTTGAGGTTTCCCATGTTTTAGACATGATATTGATAGGTTGGGGTTTCCCATGTTCTAGCCATGACATTGATAGGTTGGGGTTTCCCATGTTCTAACCATGACATTGATAGGTTGAGATACTCAACCCCCAACCACGGAAAAGTGCAGCGACCAGGGGAAACAAACGTGTATAAATATAATTCATAGAAATAAAGAAGGGAAAGAACACTACCTATTACAAGATGAATTGTAGAGGCGTTTTTTTCGGAAACAGGCATGTGTTAAAAAGAATGCTTCAAAACGTGGTGACCATGTGTTTATCATGCTATCTTACATGATAATTTAACAAATCGGATATGGCTACGAACCATGGCGGGTGTTATAAGCAAAGGACCACTCTGGTTTCAGTCGGATAATGACTTTAACCTGGGTTTTCTTCTGAACCAAAAGAAGAGGGCATTTATCTACGCAGCCATGCATCAATGATCAGAAGAAAATTTGCACTCATATGATATTACAGATATAGTTTTCTTTAACAAGCCATTCAGAAATATTTTTGTTTTTTGGGGTTTAACGTCCTCGCAACAGATAAAGTCAGATGGAGATGGGACATTGAGATCAAGTTAAAAAGACATCAATACCTTAATGTTTTTGTGTGATATTCACGTTTATTCGTAATGCGTGACAACTGATATTGATTATATTAACAAAACAGATATAATTTTCTGTAAAAACAGGCACGACAAGGTGACCTTCATGTGTTTTTTTTTATTTTCTACGTCTATACATGGGACATTTTGTCAAAACAAAGATATAGCAGACACTTCACCAAAAAGGTAATTCGGACGGTTTTCTTTTTCATTTTTAAAGTATATGCTTTTCTCGATTCCTTCTGTTTTCGTTCTTAAAAAACACTATTTTTTCTGTTTCTTTCTTTATGTCACTGCAAAAAGGTGTGAACTTAAAACACATTCACGAACAGATAACACGTTGCCCATGAGCATTATTCCGTAGTCATTAAGAAAATAGTGATCTAACAAACTTGTCCACAAACTATGTGTTGGCATAAAAGTCGGGGGAGAGGGTCGCTTAAAGTTACATGTTTTTCATAGGCCATGCATTGATAAACGGAGATGAGGACGAGTCTGAAATTTATTTAATTTCAAGCACTGGCTGATAAAAAGGGAAGAAATCCTCCAGAAGATGTTGCAATTCCTATACTAATAGCAGTATACATGTATCTTTTTTTCTGAATTAAGATTCCAAAACAGATTAGCTGAAAGAGGTGTACAGTTTTCCCCATTGCAATACTGATGTGTTCCAGCTGGTGTTCAGCGTCACTAAAACAACTTCATACATTTAATGTAAATGTTTTCACAGCAAAAAGACAGCGTCACTTTAATCCCTGGTCATGTGTTCCTGATTAAGTAAAAATGAAAACACAAATATTTTTTTATAGGTTGAAAAAATGAAATTTCGAATAACTTCTGTAAATGCATCACAATATGTGATTAAGATTGATTGTTTTTGTAGAAAATGACATTGACATTTTCCCCCTCTAAAATTATTGTCGGGTGAACATTCGATAACCCACTCGCTTTTCACAAAGAAGGCGGCAGGGCTTGATTCTCCATTCGGACGTGAAAATGTATGGGGTCACCTGCCCGACTACTTAGGGGTTTCGGGGTTCTCCAGTTATCTCCAAAATTTTAACACCAATAAATCAGGCCAGCAAGGTTGCTTAACAATTGTTGTAAAAGATGAAGTTTAGGGCGACAGTACAAGTTAAAAAGCCTTCAATTGGGATTTAAAAAAAAAAAAATCAAACTTTTTTTTTCTGGTTTTGAGATCTATCTTTGACGTGTTCTATTTTAATTTTATTCATCTGACCTGATACAAAATGTTAGTAAAAAATCGTGAAAGTGTTATAATGTATTTATATATATCTATAGTATAGTAGTGTCAACTTGCGCACATACATTTAGTAACAAATGATAACCGGTTTGACGGGTAATGCGCTTTGTATACCCAGGGAGACCCATACTCGTTACCAATCAAGGAAAACTAAAACATTGTCTCAGGTGACTTAACAAGCAATCAATAACAAAAAAGTAATATGCGTTTTATCTGAAGCTAAATAAACAGCATTCTTTATACATCAACATAAGTGCGTTGTTTTGGCAAAACTAAGTGCAGTCTTTTGACATATTATTCTGGTTCGTATCGATCTCTCCTAGAACAACTTCTAATATTGTCGGGTAAAGATTTACTCGAATGTTTTGCAGACATTTTAGATCAATTGAAATAACGAAAGATGCTTTTCGCAAATCCGTTAGCACTAAATTAAAAGCGTCCAAACGGCGATCATTTCATCTCGGTATCAAATGACATATGTTGAAGCTGGCAGTGAAAAAAGTGTTTTCCTTTGTGTAGGAGAATTACTGTCTGTGATAGGACTACTGTAAGCTAATAGTTGAAACACATGTGGCATATCTGTTATTATCGCCCTTTTTAACATAATATTATGACCAGCTGTTGATACAGCAATTCCGGATTGATCGTATCCAAACTTTGAACGAAACTTCAAAGAAATGTTGCAAAGATTTAACGGTCGGAGTTCGAATACGATCAATCCAGAATGACTGTTATATAGATATTAATTAAGTCATTTACATATGCTTATGTAAATAAAAAAAAAATCATCTTTATAGTTCGTGTTATTTCCAAAGTTCTTTTAAGTACTTTGATTTTTGTATGGCAACATATTGCGCATATCTAATTGATACTCGCTTTACATGTAAAACAATTATACTGTATACATTTTAATTTATTGAATTAAATAGTGTAACCACCTGATTATTTTTTTAGAGAAAGCATTTATATTTCAAGTTAATATCGCATCGCACACAGAGGTTCAATTTTGTATTGAAAGCCACTGGTATAATATATAATTTAATGGAATATACATGCTCATAGCATGATTAGTTTAATGACGCAAATACTCAAAATTAGTTTTTCTAAAACTGTGTCAAAATTTACAAATATTTTTGTGCTTAATATTATCACTAGATATTCATTTTTAAGTTGTGATACAGTCAGATTTGGTTTAGAATTTCAATATTTTGAATAATACTAGATTATAATATTGCTTGTCGTTTAGCTAATTATATAATAAGACTTAATTTCCCAAGTTACGCAAGTGAATTGACTTGCTAGATCTATGAGATTTCATGGTTGGTTTTGACTGGGGTTTCTTTTACCTGAACGTGTTACCTATGAAGCTCACTTCGCTATGATAGGTAACGCGACTACTGACACATAAATTATTGATCAGTGGGACACGTTTTTGAACTTAACCTGGCTAGTATTATTGCTGAAACAAAAATACCTTTTATGTCAAAGTCAGCTGATAAAATTACACGATCTGTATCTACCATTGTTACATATAAGCAGATTCATGAGAATCGCAGAAATAACCGTCAGACAGACAAACTGAACAGTATCTTTACTATGATATATTTCTTTTTTTAAACTAAATATAACACATAATGACGCAGTTGTTTGATGACTGAAAATAACAACCTATATATTTGCATCCTTGCGTGTCTATACGAAAAAGTGTGTTATGCAAATGCTATTAAATGTCAAATAAATCAACCCTGTTTTGTTAACCGTCAATATAGCTGCATCT